CTGTTCAAACTTTGTTTTCAGACTGAGGTCTAAATTACAAAATTAGGTTGATCTACACCAGAGGTGGAGAACATTTTGAAATCAGGGCCACTGACTCATGGTAAAATCAGTTGAGGGACACACGTGAATCAGAAGAGAAGAAATACTAAAAAAACAAACCCAAAAACCCTCCAAAACAGCCCCTTCTCTCTTCCCCACTTCCCCCGTCTGATACCTCACTGACGTGGCCTCTTCAACTGAGAAACAGAAAAAAAGAGACACTCATTTCGCTCATGCAACTCTGTGGACGGAGCACTGAAACTCAGGGCTTCTGTCCCCCTCTCGCCCCTCTCCTCCTGGGCTGAACTAACTCTTCTAAAACTACTAGACTTTGTGGGGCCCCTAGGCTCTGAGGTGGGGCCAAAAAGGAGGAGTTTAGCTTATGGGAAGAGACTGCTGGCCGTGGACTTGGGGTGAAGGGTCAGGGGTCTAGGAGGGAGGTAGAATGCAGGTGCAGACTGAGTGTGGAGGATCTGGGCAGAAGATAGGATGCAAGAGAGGGCTGGGTTTGGGGTCTAGGTGGGAGGTAGGGTGAAGGAGCTAGGTAAGGGTGTGGCATCTGGGTGAGAGGTATGGTGTGGGAAGGGGTAGGGGATTGGGGTGCTTACTTGTCGCATCACCCTGGGAGGCTCTGTACTGCCTTGCACTTGCTGGCACTGCCGCTCCCATTGGCCGTGTTTCCTGGCCAGCAGGAGTGGTGGGAGAAAACCCTGTAGGTGCTGCCATTCTCCCAGTTGGCAGGGAGGGGAAAGGCAGTGCTCAGAGCTGCTTTCTCCCTCAGCTAGGCAGAACAGGGCACACAGTGTTGGCTCCCTGCTGCTTCCCTCTGCTGTGATGGGGGGAAGCTACAAGCCTCTTGGGCTGGATCCAGGGAAATGGGGTTGCATCCAGCCTGTGGGCTGTAGGTTCCCCAATCCTGATCTGCAGTCTCACACAGTAATTACATAAGCTGGGGGGGGAGATAGTTCAGTAGTTTGGGCATTGGCCTGATAAACCCAGGGTTGTGAGTTCAGTCTTTGAGGAGTCCATTTAGGGATCTGGGGCAAATCTGTCAGGGTTGGTACTTGGTCCTGCTGTGAGGGCAGGGGACTGGACTCAATGACCTCTCAGGTATATCTCCAAGAACTGGAAGATACTTTATCTCATTATATTCAGTTGTGTTCATATAACTATTTTTGTGCTAGTAGTTTGAGGTGCGATTGCATTGATTGAAGTTGGGCATTATGAAGAACTAACAGCCCCAGCTGTGGGTCAGTCAAGGACTCAATTTCACAGCAGGGAACCTACCAGTTATGAAATGGACATTTTTGTCGGTTTCACAGCTGCAATTACTTATTTAATATTTTCTTTTGAATTGCTGCTTGAAATAATAGCAACTATGAAACTCAAGGATGTCAGTTTCTCTACTGATAGGTTCCCTGCTGTGAACTTGAGCCCCTGTGCTGGCCTTATGTCTGGCTGCCACGCCCCAGTGCCAGCGGGAGGAGGCAGTAAATGCACACTTGGAGCCTTGCAGCAGCCTCCTCATGAGAAATGAGGAATGGAGTGGGGGGAAGACCTCAGCCATCTCGTAGTAAGATGGGAGAGGGGGGAGGATGACCCAAGCCCAGGTGGTAGGTTTGAATTCTTCTGTCCCCTAATTCCTCTTGAGGAGTTGGTGGCAAGGCTCCAGGCTGCCAGCCCAAGTGGGACGGGGTAGCAGTCTCTGGACTGCTGGCAGGTGATGTCAGTAATGAAATGTCTACACAGGCACTGTGTTACCCTAAATACGTTGACTTAAGTGTTACACCTTTCTCAGAAGTGGAGTTATTAGTTCGATGAAGTGGATGACTTTCATTGGTGGGCACAACATTCTAGTATAGGTACTGACATAGTTAGGCCACTGTAAGTTGCCTTATGTTGACCTAACTCTCTAGTGTAGACCAGACCAAAGGTTGCAAAACTGAATGGGAACAATGTTGGATACTATTGTGGTACTACAGCACAGATATAAGGAAGGAGGAGGAAATTAAAAAATCATGACAGATATCTGGGCCAGTGCTTGAGGTAACCCCTTGACATTATCAGCCATGTAAAATATGTATTTAATGCTTATTTAGCGCAAACTATATTTTAACATTTTATTTGTTTACAATGTTAAAAAAAATCTATCCGTAGGCAAGTAGAATATTGCAAGGTGTTGCTTATCATAGAAAAGGGAATTACACTTTTGCAGTTCATTTTGTAAAGGGTTTTTGCTTTTGCAAATGAAAGCTGACCTCAGTTTAATTCACCATCTTAAGTGTCTGGGTCTGAAAAGAGTATGTTTGATGTATGCTTTATTGTTTAAATTGGCCTCAGTGTGTTTCTGTGGGAAGGCTTTTGTTGAAGGCAGTGTATCTCCATGCTGGCATGGGCTAGCTTGTTAGATTGAGGCCTAAACTCTTCAGATATTTTCATGTTGTACGTGATCCAGATGCACTTTTTTTTAAATACAGAGGTAAAAATACTGCTGCTACTAGTTCTTGTGCAATATGTAAGCTTTTATTTTCGGACGTTTTCGTACCAAAACCCAATACAAACTGTGGTGTTACCCGGAGAGCTGGGGTAAACAATTGCTGTGCTATGGGCTATGCAATTTAATTAAAGCCTAAGGTGCCCTCCCACAGAAGCCAGATTCGGCCTGGTATCCTGTATCTAATCACCAGGGAAACAGCTTAGAAATCACCAAACAACAAGAATTTAGGGCCAAACCATGTATTTTAAATGTAAGATCAAACATTAGCAAACAGCATACAACTTAGCAACAGTCCCACCCTAACCCTGGAAAAGAAGAAGATAGAAGAGTCCCCCACGCACAAGGATATACATTACATTCAAAGCGGCGATTGATGTTTGATGTCCGTGACCTTCAACCTCGTGGCTAGTGAAAAGCCTTAAGGGAGGACAAAGGGAGCGATCCCTCGATGGATGCTTCTCGCCTCCTACAAGCTGACGCTTGGTGGGCACCGGATCCTGTCCGAGTATCCGTAAGCGAGACAGTGTTATAAGTCCCAAAGTCTTAGTGGGAGCGGAAAAGGCTTCCCTTATTCCAGTTAAAGTCACTAGCAGTGGGTAGTCTTGTCAGACTGCAGGCTGGAACCTTGGCCTCCTCTGGGAAGACGATGACGCAGGGCAATGATGATTACAGATGCACACACGGGACATGAAGGGGGCCAAAGAACACGAATGCTCCTTGACAAGGGTATATAAACACCTCATGGCGGGAAAACCATGAAGAGAGCGGGGTGCAGAGAACTAGAGCTGGGTGCATAAGACTTGGGTGCCGTGTGCAAAGAATGGGTGTGCACGCAGGCAATTGGGCGGTGTGCACAGCCTTTGGTGCTGAGTGCACAGGTTTAGTGCTGGGTGCACAGCCTTCCTTTACCCGTTTTGGCGGGAAAACTGCTCTGAGGGAAAAAGAACCCCTCAGACTCCATTTTGTATTGATGTTTGATGTCCGTGACATTCAACCTCGCAACAGTGGGAAAATTTTTAAATTTCAGTAGAAACAATTATAAAAAATGTGAGTAGAGTATAGCATCTTAGTATGGCTTTCTCCCCCCCCCTCCCCCCGCCCCCAACAAGTTTTCCTTTTGTTTTTATGCTCCACAACTTTTCTGTTTTTTTTTTTTTTTTCTCAACAACTTTGAGTACCGGCATCTTTTTTTCTTACAAAAAAGGTAGGGGGGTGGGTGTGTGTGTGTGTGTGTGTTTCAGATGAGATGATCTTGAGTGGAGAAAAACATTTCTCTAGTACTTGCCACTTCAATGCTCAGCATTATGATAGTGTTTCAGAACCAAAAAGTAATTTTTTAAGCAAAATTGAAACTAACTCTCTTGAAATGTAAAAGCTTCAGTGGGTAGCCACGTTGGTCTGTACAGGATAAACATAAGAATGGCCATACTGGGTCACACCAAAGGTCCATCTAGCCCAGTATCCTGTCTTCCGACTGGCCAGTACCAGGTGCCCCAGAAGGGGTGGTCCGAAGACGACAACAACAAACATAAGAACATAAAAAAACCAACAAATAGTCTGGTAGCACTTGAAAGACTAACAAAACATGTAGTCTACTTCTTCAGATGACCAGAACCCCCTTACCTTCTGTCCTGTTTATTTGAGTTCTGGAAATCCAACACTCTGGTCATCTGAAGAAATAGGCTATGCCCATGAAAGCGCATGATATCGTCTACATGTTTGTTAGTCTTTAAAGTGCTACCAGATTATTTGAAATTTAAAGACATTGAACATTTAAATAAACAGCATGCATAATGGACTGAATTCTGCGAAGACAGAATTCATGTATTTTAAATATTGGCCAAATATTGCAAAGTTGAATCCCTAAAGTTAGGCACCAAGCAGAACTTGAAAAAAAGAACTTAAAAAAACCTTTGTTTTTCATCTTTTGATCTGTCATGGTGTAGATCAGGGGTCTCCAAACTTTTCTGCCCGAGGGCCGCATTAACTATCAAACAGCAGTTCGGGGGCCGACTACACACTTGAGGTCCAAATAAAAAACAATCAAAACATGGATGTTGTTTTTAATTATTTATTTAATATTATTTTATTCAGTTATTATTTAATAACACATTGATACACTACACATGAACACCTGTATTAGTGTGAATGGTGAAATTGTTTCCTGGATGCCAAAATAGAGCCCAGCCCACTAGTGACCTCATGAGAGAACTAGCCAATAGGATAAGAACGCACTGGCCAATAGGGAGCAATTGTCCACGCCAAGTCCCAACCCCTCTTGCTGTGAGGGACGCGCAGAGCCCGGGCTCGGCCGTCGGTCCGCAGGGCGTGTGGCCGTCCGTTGGCGGCTCCGATCCCCCGCACCCCCGGCC